AACGAAGAACCAGGGACTCTTGTTCAAAAATATTAAGAATTTCAAGATGAGGAAAACAGAGTAAAAGGGTGGGGACCTTTTGCACAGGTGCCAGGCCTCTGAACCTGGCTCACCAAGACCTTGGAGCTAGCTGGACCTTTGCCTTAAGCAAACTTGTTATCTAGAAAGAGGAATTTACAAAATGTACATTTGAAAGCCGGCTTCTCACGGGATTCCCAGGGATTCCCCAGGAATAAATTAACACCTGTCCTGCACCTATTTTGTGCAAGGTTGCAGGGTTCAAACATTTGAACAAGACAGGGAGCCTGCCCGGCAAAGCGTTTGCAGCCTCAGGAAAAACACCCTGTAAATAGTACAGTAGGATGACAGAAATACGCAAAGGTTGCTGTGGGAACCCCAAGGGGTCACAGCTTGGGAAGGGAGGAGGTGGAAGAGCGCCTCTGGGGCCTGACTCTGGGGTCACTGGCTGAGTCGAGAAGGCTGCGGGATGTTCCAGGTAGAGGGAGGTATTAGAGCACCCCCAGCCACGAGAAAACTCTCGTTTTGAGTTGGCCTGGGGAGGGGGAGTAGGAGTTCCGGGAAAAAGGAGCCAATGCATTTCACAAGGAGATGGTTTTAACTGAAGCAGCGACACAGCCTGAATGAAAGGCTTGCTTAGAGCAGTAAGGAGTGGGAGAGCAGTGGGGCTTTTTCTCGCCCATGTGGCACCCCAGAACATTATACCCCAGAGGGTTCCACTTTTCTATGCGGATAGAATCAAAATCATTGCTCCCTTTTGTCACCATGCTGTGAGCGCCTACACAAAAGGAGGCCAGTTTTATAAGCTGAAGGCTCTACGCTCTGTACAGCACATTGAAACTGTCCTTGGAATCGCTGTGAAGCACTGATTTTCATTGATTCAGAATAGCTTCAGTGTTTTAATAAATGTAGCTGACTTTACTTCCCCTGACCCTGAATTGGTCTAAAAAAACGGGGGGCGGGGGGGTGTTATATAATGTTTGAAGGAAGTACTAACGTTATTCTGACAAGGGAACCCTTCTCCAAAAAAGAGTCACCATTTCCCGCCCCCCTGGTTTTAATAGTAATACATATTCTTTGTGGGAAGTTTGGAAAACAAACAAAATTGTAAAAGAAATAATCATTATCAACATTTCGGTCTATTTCCTACCAGGATTTCTACTATGTACATAAATTTAAAACCCAACTTTTTGCCTCCTAACATAATATTCTATTATTTTTTTCTTGTTAAAGGAACTTTTATTGTTTCTTCTTTTTACCAAAATATTACATTTTCACTGGAGAAAATGCTGGGAAAAAAATTAAAATCATTTGCAATTGCCATCCAGAGGCAATGTTAATAGTTTTGTCTTGTCGATCTTTTCTAGGAATATATTCCGGGAAAACGAAATTACTAAATGCACCATGAATATTCCCTCGTCTAGATGCAGCCCAGTTTATGTAAGCATCTCCTTATGTTGGGCATTAAGGTTACTTCTCATTAATTGGGGTTATGATAAACATCCTTTACAATGGTATTTTACGTTGTGCTTTTTTCCATTGAAAATTTTGGATTTTCTACAATGAATTTCATCCATTCAACTTCTGAAAGCTGAAATAAAAAGGTGGGAAAATAAAAAGGTTCTTAACTTTGCCTTAAGAACTGTCCCCATTTTAAATACATTTGTCCTCCAAGCAGAAGAGAGCTCTTGCATAGGCAGATGGGGTAAGGAAACCATTCTAAATGGCCTCGATAGGTATTTAAAAACATTAATTTAAATCTAGTTAATAAAGGAGCAATTGACTCTTCCAATTTTTGGAAGATGAAATCTAGGGCCAAAATCTTCCATGAGTCTGAGCAACAATTGAAAATAATTTTTCGATTCTCAATTTGCCTCAGAATGGCAGGACACTT